CAATCGACAGACACGTGTCTTAGATTTAAAGCGCTGAAAAAGACATTTCTCTGTATGGTTGATTTTCTAGAGTGATGAATAATTCTTTATGAGCATTCAAGAATAAATAATCCGTTTTCTTTCGCTGCTAATGATCATGTTACATATTCATGAGGGACTTTAGATTTCTTTGCGGTTCAGTGAATTACCTGTAATTATGAAATAAAGGAAATATCTATAAAGACCTAGACGCATCCCCATAAATCAAAATGCTGGTAAATTGAGAGTGGTATAAAATTATCAATAATTGTATACATGACTCTGTTGAAATAAATCGCTGCAATTGCATGATAACAACAGTCCTATTGATTATTTGTCCGCCACGTGTTGATCATGTGTCTGTTGTTTCCTAAATCGCTACCAGTTATTATAGAATGTTAATAATATATTTACAGCTTTTGCTCCATAAGCTCTGCATCATTGCATTTAATATTTTAATCTTAGATCTTCTCCCTTGTCTTTTGCTTATTTTACTCACTTTTTCTTGATCTCCTCCTCCCCCTCCTCCTCCTATTCACCCTTCTTCTCCTTCTCTTCCTATTCCTCTTTCTCCTCTTCCCCTTCCTCTCCCTCTACCTCCTCCTCCTCCTCTTCTTCTTCTTCCTCTTCTTCTGCTTCCTCTTTCTTCTCCCCCTCTTCCTCTTCCTCCTCCTCCTCCTCCCCCTCTTCCTCTTCCTCTTCCTCCTCTTCCTCCTCCATCTACCCTTCCCCTCGCTTCTAGGACCCCAACTACATATATATATTTATATTCACACAAATATAAATATAAACCAACCCCACATTCATCGTGTCTCAGCAGCAACTAACACCCACCCTCTTCTCTCTTCCTCCCCACGCCCGCCCACTCATCCTCCACACGCCCTACGGCCCCGCCCACCGGCCACGCCCACCCACTCATCCTCCCCACACCCTGTGGCCCCGCCCACCGGCCCCGCCCACCGGCCCCGCCCACCGGCCTCGCCCACCTGCAGGTAACGGAGGCGTGTCTAGAGCGCGTCTGCTGGGGCGTGATGGGCAGCCTCGACACCCCGGCGGCGGAGAGGCGATACGAGGAACTGATCGACGCAGCGCAGCTCAGTCAGACGATCGCCGCCTTCGTCGAGGAATACAACGGCCAGCACCAGACCAAGCTCAATCTGGTCACCTTCAAGTACGTATTTTGTTTCCGTTCATTCATTCATGCATTCATTCATTCATTCATTCATTCATTCATTCATACAACGGCCAGCACCAGACCAAGCCCAATCTGGTCACCTTCAAGTACTCATTCATTCATTCACTCATTCATTCATTCATTCATTCATTCATTCATACAACGGCCAGCACCAGACCAAGCTCAATCTGGTCAGCTGCAAGTACGCATTCATTCACTCATTCATTCATTCATACAACGGCCAGCACCAGACCAAGCCCAATCTGGTCACCTTCAAGTACGCATTCATTCACTCATTCATTCATTCATTCATTCACTCATTCATTCATCAATTCACTCATTCATTCATTCATTCATACAACGGCCAGCACCAGACCAAGCTCAATCTGGTCACCCTCAAGTACGCATTTTGTTTCCATTCATTCATTCACTCATTCATTCATTCATTCATTCATTCATACAACGGCCAGCACCAGACCAAGCTCAATCTGGTCACCTTCAAGTACGCATTTTGTTTCCATTCATTCATTCACTCATTCATTCATTCATTCATACAACGGCCAGCACCAGACCAAGCTCAATCTGGTCACCTTCAAGTACGCATTTTGTTTCCATTCATTCACTCATTCATTCATTCATTCATTCATTCATTCATTCATACAACGGCCAGCACCAGACCAAGCTCAATCTGGTCACCTTCAAGTACGCATTTTGTTTCCATTCATTCATTCACTCATTCATCCATTCATTCATTCATACAACGGCCAGCACCAGACCAAGCTCAATCTGGTCAGCTGCAAGTACGAGGACCTTGGTTGGGTTATACCAGTGTTATTCACTATTTTTTTCAAGAGAGCCAAAACTTCAGGGCATATTCAGATTGAGAGCCACATGCCTCGTAAGCTACAAGGATTAGTATTAGCAGAAAAAAATATATACAGAAACTAAATTACATATTTTTTACATATTTTTGATACTGGCAAAGTATGGGTCGCCGAGCACTGGATTTTACGTAACCTACACGTACAGTTCCTGTGCGGAAGGAGCGTCATTTCTCTCTCTCTCTCTCTCTCTCTCTCTCTCTCTCTCTCTCTCTCTCTCTCTCTCTCTCTCTCTCTCTCTCTCTCTCTCTCTCTCTCTCTCTCTCTCTCTCTCTCTCTCTCTCTCTGTTTTGCGAGCCGCCACTCAGGTCTTGGCGAGCCGCCACTAGCTCGCGAGCCGCGCAATGAAGACCACTGGGTTAGACATTTGTTTATTTAGGTGTGGGCTTGGATGGTGTGTCTTGCTTCCATTCATTAATTCCTCCATTCATTCATCCATTCATTCATTCATTCATTCATCCATCCATTCATTCACAGGTACGTGGTTCAGCACGTGTCGCGGATCTGCAGAATCCTCGGGCGTGCGGGCGGCCATATGATGCTCGTGGGTGTGGGTGGGTCGGGGCGGCGCTCCCTCACCCACCTCGCCGCCCATATCTGCGGCCATCGACTGGTCCATCCGCGCATCGTAGCCAGAGACGGTATGTGGGCGTGTGGGCGTGGACAAAGGCAGTTTTACGTTGCGCTGTTTTATATATATTTTTTTCTCTCTCTCTCCTTTTTTTTCCTTTTAACACCCTTAAAAAAAAAAAATTCGAAAAAGCCTCCTTTCAACCCGCTTAAAAATCCCCCCCCCCCCCAAAAAAAAAAAAAAAAAAAAAAAAAAAAACACCCCTCCTTTTAAACCCTCTAAGAAAATATATTAAATAAGTAGAAAAAAATAATAATAAAATAAAAAATATCAACCTATGACACCCCCGCCCCCTGTCGGCCCCCCCCCCTCCCCCATCTCCAACAGGCTACAGCGATCTCCGGCGAGTGCTGAAGGACGCCCTCATCACAGCAGGCGTGGAGGAGAAAGCCACGGTCGTCCTAGTGGGAGATGAGGTCCTACAGCATCCTTCCATCCTGCATCTCCTGAACACTCTCATCTTAACGGGAGATGTGCCGAATCTCCTCTCTCCCGAAGACCATAGTTATCTGTTGGAGGTGAGGCGATGGATTCGAACAGACGCTGGTTTAAAGATGATGATAATAATATATATATATAACACTAATAATATTAATTGGACGCGCGGGAAAGGCGAAATTGTTCACGGGCTTTCGAAAGATTTTGTTGATTGTAGCTTTAATCTTTAACGTCTACTTCGATATCTCCACTTTAATGCACTTTCAATATGAGATAGAGTGCACTAATGTGAACATATCGATTCTCATGTTACATATGAAGGTTTAAATTGAAAAAGCATTCAATAAACGTACTGTCGGACAATTGGTCTAAGAACAACTTTGAACGCGCGTATCTTTATATTACAATTTGCATAATATATGTGCACTTTTAATGTAATGCATTGTCATAAAGTAGTAAGATTCAGACCAATGTGACATCTTTACTCTCCAATATGCAGTAGAAATAGACAAATGAAAAAGGCAACTCAAGTTATATCCTTCTGTTAGCTGAAAAAAGAGATCCTCATAAAAAATAGATTCAATTTCTCTTGCCTCGCTCATCATACTCCTCTCACTCATCTCGTCCAGCGTACTCATTTCCTTCATCTCATTCACCTGGCCCCCTCCCTCACCTCCCTCACCTCCCTCACCTCACACCTCACTCATCTCCCTCATTTAACTTCTTTGCCCTCTCCCTCACCTCCATCACCTCCCTCATCTGACCCCCCCCCCCCCCTGCAGCGCCTCCGTCTATACGCCGAGGACCGTGGCGTGACGGAGACCGACCTGTGGCACGAGCAAGCGCAGCGGGTGGCGGACCTGGTACACGTGGTCATCACGGCGCCGCCCACGCCCGAACTGAGGCATATATTCGCCAGCTACCCGGCCCTCACCACCCACATCACGGTCGACTATTTCAAGGTGAGAAATAGTGTCTATTTCTCTCCTCTTCTCTCTCTTTCACTCTCTCTCTCTCTCTCTCTCTCTCTCTCTCTCTCTCTCTCTCTCTCTCTCTCTCATTTTTTTTTACTAAATTATTTCGTTTGAAACTGTTTAATCAAAGGCTTGCGTGGGGAACAATATATCCATACAGCAAGCGTGAATAATAAGCAAACCAAACTCTAAAGTACAAAGCAACATTTAAACGTAGCATTCCCCTCATCCTCGACTCGCTTCCAGCCGTGGCCACGAGAGGCGCTGGTGAAGGTGGGCGAGCACTACCTGGAGGCCGTCCCGCTCAGGAGGTCGATTAAAGACGCCGTCATTTCTGCCGCCACCGCCACGCACCAGACGGCCAGGTTCGATGAGGCTGACTGTGCTCCCGACAGGGTTTAAGGGGAAGGGATTAGGGGAAGGGGGTAGGGGAAGGGGCTGGGGTTAGAGGGTGGGGATTCAAATCAGCGGGAGATTTGGGAGGGGGGGAGGAAGGGAAGCATGAAAATCTTCGGTTTAATGAGATTGAAGTGTTTTGTATGTAATTTTGTGGTTATTCTTTTTCTAATTTTCAGTGTCTGAGTGAGTTGTATTCCCACCGGGAAAATATATCTCATAATACATATTCAAAAATTGTTCTTAGCAACGCGACCTTTTCACGACATTTTGGGGAGTTCAAAACAACGCATTTCGAACGGTTCCAGGCGCGTGTCAGAGGACATACTGACGGAGGGCAAGTGGTGCCCCCAAGTCACTCCGGCGAGCTACCTCCACCTTCTGCAGGAGTTCCGCGCCCTCTTCACCGCTCGTCAGACGCAGGTCACCGCCGTCAAGAAGAAATACCTGTCAGGTCTCGACAAACTGGCCTTTGCCGCCTCGCAGGTGGGCGCTTGGAGGAAGTAATTTTGGACGTATTTCTTACTTGCCGGCGGTCGGGGCGGCTTTGCTTCATTTAGCTGCCAGATATGTGATTAAGACTGTCAAGACGCATATAGTATTCTTGTTCCTATTAATTAAAAGTTCATATGTATATAGAGATAGATAGATAGATAGATAGATAGATAGATAGAGAGATAGATGATAGATAGATAAATAGATAGATAGATAGATAGATAGATAGACAGATAGATAGGTAGATAGATATACAGAGAAATTGATAGATAGATAGGAAGATATAGATAGATAGATAGATATACATTATATAGAAATACATACATAGAATTAAGTAGTATCACATGAAATCAGTAAACACAAATGAACATAAAGACCAAAGCAGCTTCGAAATACCCCGTCTGTAACCTCTTCCTCCCCCCCCCCTCTCGCGCACAGATCTCAGTCATGCAGGAGATGCTGGCCTCCCTCGGGCCCCAGATTGAAGAGGCTACCCAAGACGTCAGCAAGATGATGGAGATTATAGAGCAGGTTAGTGTGTCGTGGGAGAAGAGAGGTCACTGACTTTATGAGCTCCTCTTTTGTATGAATCGCTTGTTGCGTAAGGTAGTTCCTTGGTGCTCATGGGTTTCTGTTTTGTAGGATTCATAATGAACAGATTTGCAAGTAGAGCAACGAAGGGAAGAGCGAGAGAGAGAGAGAGAGAGAGAGAGAGAGAGAGAGAGAGAGAAAGAGAGAGAGAGAGAGAGCATTGATTCATCCCTTCGTTGTTTTGTTTATAGTACACGAGGCACAGAACGAGGTTTCTTTTTAACAGAAAATGTATTAGTCTAGCTTTGACAACGCTTCATTGAAAATAATGTACCACTGCATCAGCACAATACAACAGAGCAATACCTCCAACCACGAAATATTAAGATATCCTTCGTCTCTCCCCCTTCCTATACGTGACTCATAACCCTCCGTGTTTCCATGACAGGAGTCGTTAGAAGTGGAGGAGAGGAGGAAACTCGTGTCGGCGGAGGAGGAGGAGGCCGGAGTGCACGCAGCGAATGCCAGGGCCCTGCAGGAGGAGTGCCAGGCGGAGCTCAACCAGGCCATGCCAGCGTTGCACGGTGAGTCTTTGGTCATGTGATTAAAAGTATGGACGCGGAAACGCACTTACAACGTACCTGGTACACAACGATGGTAAATACTATATACCTCCAGAACCGCCGACGCAATACAAATAACCAAACTAAACTAAAGAAAAAATATATAATGCAAACTAATAGAATTAAAAGAATAGATAAAAATATTTAAAAAATAAAAAATTCAGTGCCCCATGTCCCTTCTTGCCCTCAGAGGCCGTGGAGTCTCTGAACACGCTCAAGCCAGCGGACATCACGGTGGTTAAGAGCATGAAGAATCCTCCGCAGGCCATCAAGCTCGTCATGGCGGCCGTGTGCGTGATGCTCGAAATCAAGCCGGAGAAGATGAAGAACAGCAGCGGGAAGACGGTGCGTGGGCCTCTGGCTTGGCTTGCGTTGGGATTGATGATTTTTTTCCGTGTTTATCTTTTGGTGTTTTTTGTGGGTTTTTCTGTTTTATTTTGTTTCTTTGGTTTTATAATTTCCCGACTTCACTCTCTTCCGTCATTGTTTACTTCCCTGGCTCTATTTCTGGTTTTGGCCTGGTACTCTCTTTTTAGTAGGCCTTTCGTGTTTTGTTTTGTTTCTGTTTGTCTCTCTTTTTCCCGTGTTTCTATCCCAATTTGTATTTTTATTTTATATTACTCCCCTTCTCCCTCTCTCGCCATTCATATCTCTACTTCTGGCATCGCCATGGTTGCTGCCTTTTCGTGTTTTTCCTCTCCTTATGATATCTTTCTATTTTACTTTGTCTTTTTATTTCTCTATTTCTCCCCTTCACACTCTCCTGCCCTTCCCCCCAGCCCTACCTCGCCCTGAACGTGGCCTCACCCTTCCTCGCTTCTCTCCCAGATCTTCGAGTACTGGGGCCCGAGCAAGCGCCTTCTGGGAGACATGAGCTTCCTGCAGCAGCTGAAGGACTACGACAAGGACAACATCCCCGAGGCCGTGATGGACAAGATCAACAAGGAGTACGTTCGGCTGCCGGAGTTCGACCCTGTCTCGGTAGCCAAGGCTTCCAGCGCGGCGGAGGGCCTCTGCAAGTGGGTGCGGGCCATGGCCTCCTACAACGCCATCGCCAAGGTAAGCAAGGGGCGTCCGATTACCTCTTCTTCGTTATTTGCCCTCCCTTGCGGAATATAAGAGTTTTATACCTACCTTTTCCTCCGAATGATACAGATCCCGAATTGACCTAAAACTAGATTTTCCGCGCCTCAGTCTAGTCACATCCCTATGTTCTTTCTCCACATGATACACAATGTACTAATCTTAAGGATGTAAATGTTCCCCCCTACCAGAGTACCATTTTTTTCATGCTGTAAGTATTGCCATTTTTACTTTCCCCCCTCACAACTTACGCAAA